AGTATGGCCATGTAAAGTAGTATTGCTGTGGGACAGTGATCTTGTATCCTGTAAAGATTTGTCAGTTGTATTGCTTTCATAAAATGCTGATTGGCTAGTAGCCAGGCAGGAAGTATAGGCAGAGCAACGAGGACAGGAGAAATCTGGGAAGAAGAAAGACTCAGTCATCAGTCATCACCCAGATGCAGAGGAAGCAAGATGAGAATGCCTCTCTGATAAAAGGTACCAAGCCATGTGGCTGGCACAGATAAGAATTAATGTAGGATATAAGAGTTAATAAGAAGCCTGAGCTAATATACCAACCAGTTTATGATTAATGTAGACCTCTGTGTATTTCTTTGGGACTGAATGGCTGTGGGACTGGGCAGAACAGAAACTACTGCCAACATAATATAATCTAATTACTACCAAGTGATCAAGGAAGTTTTTCATAAGTAAAGATTCAGACAGAGAAATGAGAAACTAAATAAAGAATACACAAAGAGCAATTTTGAAAATTGTTTTCCAAACCTTCATGACTGAAACACTAGTTTGGTTATCAAAACAGGGGTTTATAGTTCTTCTCATTTTTTAAACAAAGATATTAAATTTAGTTTATGGCTTTTATAGTTTTTAGGAAACTATGAGCCCTGTGTCTACATAGTTTTATGAATGAGACATCAGTGAGGGAGATCATCATAGAGACAGATGAATACAAAAGTAATTTTTGAAGAGAGTCTGTGTCTTGTCATTTAAGTTCTTGGATGTGCCATTTTCATTCAGAAATAATTAGCCACATGGCTGTTACTACTGTGTCTGAAACTAGTGGGATTGTCCCTAATGCAGCCATGATCACAAGTTCAACTATTCTCTAAAGGCTGTCATCCCTGCCAGGCAGTGGTGGCACACACCTTTAATACCAGGACTCGGGAGACAGAGGCAGGTGAATCTCTGTTAGTTCAAGGCCAGCCTGGTCTAAAGAGATAGTTTCAGGGCCAGCTAGGGTTATACACAGAAAAACCCTGTCTTGAAAAACCAAAAAATAAATAAAAAAGACTGTCATCTTCATTACTATCATTTTTTCCTATCAGGCTACCAAAGAGGGCAGAGATAAAAAGGAAAAACAACCAATAACAACAATGACAAAAGCAAATGGCTGGAGACCCCTTAGTTTGGTTTCTGTTCAGACTGAAGAGTTCCATGCTTCACTGTTGATAAATAGAAAGGTGATAACAAAATATAGTCACATATTCATCCATTACCATTTTTCTGTAGTATCCTGTGGCTGCTGAACACAGAACATCTCATGTTATCCTCACAGTGGCTCAATAGGTGCCTAATTTTATTATCTCTATTTTTTTGAACTGGAAATTGATATTGAGACAGTTGGTTAAATATTGTTCAAACCCACAGTGCTACCTTGGGAAAGACACAGACATATTGCTGAAACAAAACACTAGGGGGATAAGTATTGATAAAGGAAAAAATCTTACAGGGCTGGAAGGGTAGCTCAGTCAGCAAAGTGCTTGCTTCACATGGATGAGGACCTGAATTCAACTCTCAGAACCCAGGTAAAAAGTCAGGAGAAGTGATACATGCTTATAATATCAGTGCTGGGGAGATGGAGATAAAGGCTTGATGGCTAAGTAGACTAGCCAGAGTGACCTCAGGTCCCAGGGAGAGACCTTGTCTTATAAACCATGATGGATAACTCTCAAAGAAAGTTGCATGAAGCTGACCTCTGGCATCCACACATGTGCATGTGCGTGCACGCGAATGCACACACGCACACACGCACACATGCACACACACACACACTTCCCCCTAACTCCCATACAAAACACAAAGAAAAAGAGTTTATTTCACTCACAGTTTTGGAGACAACATCAGCAACATGGAGCTTGCTTGGGTAATGTCCCTCAGTGCATATCTCATCATGGTGATGTTTGGGAGCAAAAGAAAGATCCTATGACCAGACAAGCTGGTTAGTGATCCAGAGGGAGAGGGACTCTGGGGTCAGGCACACTCATTTGTAATAATTTCATCTCAAAAGATATTTAAATGTCATAAGAGAATGACCTTAATCTCACCAAGGACAGTGCCTAATGACCTAACCAAATAACTCCTATCAGACTCCACCCTTCAAGGTCCCGCCATCTCTTGACAGTCCGACCTGGGGCCAGGCTTCCAACACATGGATTCTGGGGGACACTCTCAAACATACCCAGATTTTAACAGGTTCTGCACCTTCCTGCTATTTTATTTATAGTAATTCCAAAAGAGTTCAGGAGGCAAAAGGGCAGTGATTTAAAATGTCATTTCCAAACCCCTTCTTTACTATATAGAGAAGCCTGGGCAGTGGGCAGTTGATGATTCCCATGAGGAAAGAACCCAAACCAAGTGTCCAACAAAACTGGGCCCCTTGCTTTGTTGAAGTATCCTTAGAATGGGCTAACTCCTGACAGCCAGTATAGACTTCAAATACAGATATCCCTTAGTTTCTAATGGAGTGGCTTTCTGACAAATTCATAGGAAGCTGAAAATGTGTTTAATATGCTAGAAGTAGAAACCCCAGATGGGTATTTTATAGACAGGATGACAGATGAAAACATAACTGTGGCATACCAAAGAATCTGTTGTTATTCTTCATGCCAAGCATCAACAGAGGATCATTCTATACATTGCTAGCCTGGGAAACAAAATCAAACAAATTTCATTTATATTGTCCCTTAAATGCAAGTCATCTTCACTCTGCCATAAAAGGAAAAATTGTACCCTGTTAAGCTTTTTTTTTTTAAATATGAGAAAGCTGTGTAGAAGTGTCCCTAAAGTAGGGACTCTCATTTTTTTCTATTCTTTAAATTGATTTTTATTAAGTTCTACCTTCTTCTCTGTTAAGCTTTTGAGTAGGTCCATTGAACACATGCATCCCAGAACCACTCGTTAACCCCTGGGGGATGTCTGTTTGTTGTCTGCATGCCCATTCCCTTATTTTATAGGCCAATTTCCTTCACTTATTCTGAAGTTAAGGTTAATCCTCACTATTCTATTGAAAGCTTTTGGCTTATTATTTTCCCCCACATTCCAATATTTACAATGGGATTCTTAAAAAAAAATTCTTCTCTTATATATTACATCTTGATAGCAGTATCCTTTCCCCCTCCCCTAGTCTTTCCCTCCGTATCCGCTCTCCCCCAGATTCACCCCCTTTCACTTCCCCTCAGAAATATGAGGCCTCCCAGCAACACCAATCAAACAAGGCATAAAAACTACAATAAGACCAGGCACATTCCATCACATAAAGGCTGGATAAGACAGCCAGTAGGAGGAAAAGTGTCCCATAAGTAGGCAAAAGAGTCAGGGACCACCTCTGCTTCCACTGTTAAGAATTCCACAAAAACACCAAGTGACTTAGTCATCACATGTGTGCAGAAGACCTAGGTCAAAGCCCCACAGTCTCTCTGATCTTTGTGAGTCCCCTTGAGTTCCAGGCTGTGTTCTTATGGTGACCCTGACTTCTCTGGTTCTTCTCACCCTTCCTTCCCATTCTCAGAAGGATTTCCAGACCTCCACCTAATGTTTTTGGCTGTGGGACTCTATCTGCTCCCATCAGCTGTGGGATGAAGTCTCTCTGCTCTCTTTGATGATAATTATGCTAGGATCTGGTCCCAGAATCCTCTGTAGGCAGGAGAAACTGCAGGTCAAAGATTTTGTGGCTGCGTTGGTGTACCAATCCTTCTACTTGAGGGCTTGCCTGGCTACAGAAGACGGCTGGTGCAGGCTCCATGTCCTCCATCACTAGGAGTCTGCTAGGGTTACTCTTGTAGATCCCACGGAGTTTCCATTGCACTAGGTTTCCATTTCGTCCCTGAAATGCCCCCCTCCCCAGTTTCAGTTGTTTTTTCCAATATTTTCTACCTCTACTTTCCCTTACCTGATCCCTCCTGTTCCCAACCTTACCTGATCCCTCCTGTTCCCAACCTTACCTGCCTCCAGTCTCCTCATGAAATCTGTTTCCCTTTTCCAGGGAGATCTTTTTGTCCCCCACTAAAGCATTCTTGTTATTTAGCCTCCCTGGGTCTGTGAATTGTAGCATGATGATCTTTTATAATATCCACTTATGAGTGAGCACACACCATGTTTGTTTCTCTGGGTCTGGGTTACCTAACTCAGAATGATTTTTTTTCTAGTTTCATCCATTTTCCTGAAAACTTCACAATGTCATACAAGTGGATTCTTATGCTTCTAAGTTTATTTCTTTTTCTTCATAAAATTATTTTGAAACCTTTGCTGACTTCCTGGCCTGCACCGTGGCTCATATCTTGCCCATGCTTTGTCTCTTCAGAACAGGGGTACAGTGGACATTCAACAGTGAGGCACATAGTAAGTAGGCACTTAACAGTGAGGTCAACACAGTGATAAAGTGGGCACTTAACAGTGAGACCAGAACAGAGGTAGTGGACACTCACAGTGAGTTCAGAATAGTGGTACAGTGGACACTCACCAGTGAGACCAGAACAAGGGTACAGAAGGAACTCAACAGTGAGGATGACCATGGGTACAGGGCTAGTGCCTTTGGATTGCCATGTGTGATTTTTTGCAAGAGGAGCATAAAAAAGAACACCTCACTATCTAAGATCTAAGGTAGTCTGCCCACTTTTTTTTTTACAGTTCTGACTTAGTTTTTATTCATAATCATAAACTTAACTCCACAGTCCAGCTAGACTTGAAGGGGAATGAGGAAAATATGGAACCCAAAGAACTTCAGTGAGAGCAGAGATTACAGGGTACTGTGAGCAGATGGGGCTGGGGTGCTCTCCTGAGCTTCTGGTGGGTAAGAAGCCCGCAAGTCAAAAGAATTAGAGTTGTCCACAGTCGGAAATGGTGATCTTCTTGCTGGTCTTGCCATTCTTGGACCCCAAACACTCCTTGGCACCCACAATGTTCATGCCTTCTTTCACCTCCCCAAAGACCACATGTTTGCCATCCAGCCACTCAGTCTTGGTGGTGCAGATGAAAAACTAGGAACCGTTTGTGTTTGGTCCAGTATTTGCCATGGACAAGATGCCAGGACCTGTATGCTTCAGGATGAAGCTCTCATCCTCAAATTTTTTCTCTGTAGAAGGATCTGCTGCCAGTGCCATTATGACGTGTGAAGTCACCACCTGGCACATGAATCCTGGAATAATCCTGTGAAAGGAAGAACCCTTATATCCAAATCCTTTCTCTCCAGTGCTCAGAGCACGAAAGTTTTCTGCTGTTTTTGGAACTTTGTCTGCAAACAGCTCGAAGGAGACGCGGCCCAAGGGCTCGCCATCGGCCGCCATGTCGAAGAACATGATGGGGTTGACCATGGCTGCAGCAAGCGGTGAGAGGGGACAGCGGCATCTGCAAAGCCAGTCTGCCCACTTTTCATATCTACTGGGAGAAAGACATTTTTGGCCCTAGAAGTTGTTAGAGAGACCAATCAGTGGCCTCAGAAATAATTAGGTGCCATCAGTAAAACTCAGGATGGACAAAAACCATAAGTAAATAAAATTACCATCCTAAGAAAACTTCAGTCACGAACTAAAGCTGAGATTGAAGTGCGTTCATGATTGGTGTTCATAATTCGAGCAAACCACCTACAAACCTTGAAGCAAACTCCTTTTTTCCCATTTCCCATTTCCGTTATTTCCATTACTCTCAGGCCAAATATTCAATATCACTTGAGTGTGATTAATTTTTATCACATGTTTGAATGTTACAAAGCCCTGAATCAGGTTTCCTTTTTGATCAGAATCTAGTTACCAATAAATAGCTCATTGGAAGCTCACACTATAAATAGTTTGTGTGTGCTGAGCCTTGGTATCCTTTAAGTGTTTTATAGATCAACATGGTTGAGAGGCTTCCTAGTGAGTCATGTTTAGCAATGGAAGACACCTCTAAAATGTTCCTTGTTTCCCTTCACAAATTTGTCCCCTTTTCTTATACTTTCTATCTGCTCATCTAGTGAATACTTACTGGGTGTCTTCTTACGGATTATCAGGGTTATGGTGGAAAGGATAAAGAGACAAGTTCCAGTCATTTAAGAACATCCAGTGAAGACAGTTGGAATGGGCTTAGGGAGGCACTTGGCTAGTCGTCAGTTCATTAAAGAGAGGCTTATTTGCCGTCCTTATTAGGTAGCATTTTCCCATTAACCAGGGAGTAACACGGGCTTTGCAAAAGTAGGCTTTCTTTATTGGTTATATGACTTTGGGGGCAAATTCTTCACATATTCTGAGGATTCTTTGGCTGCTTCCATGGCTGTGTTAGATTTCCATCAGTGTAACAAGACTTACGAGATGCTCAGCTAGGAGGGAGGAAAGGATGATTTTGATGTACAGGTTCAGAGATTTCTGTCCATGGCTACTGGTCTGTGTTCCTTCTGGGTCTGTGGAACATCATGAGCAGGGAGAGCTGCCGAGCTCATCAGAGTTGAGAAACAGGGTGAAAAAAGTAAAGGAGAGACAGACTCAGAGTCCATTCAAGGTCCCAGCATACCCTTAAAGGACATGCATCACTTTTGGGATATGAAGTAACACAGTGGCCAGGCACTTGCCTAATATCTTCAAGGTCCTGGATTCAACCCCAGCACCACCCAAAGCCACTCAAACCCAACCCCAAACCAAATTAAAAACCAAATTACAGTAATAAAAACACTCCAAACCAATTACATGTTCTTCCCACTAGGATCGTCCTGACATTTCACCACCCTCAATGTGTCATGAGCTGTAACAGTGTCTTCAACCTAGAAATTGTAGAGGACATTTGGGAAACAAGCCAGAACAGCTATTGAGGGAGGAAAAGCAACTTTACTTCTATGAATTTAAAACTAAGAACCACTACTACCTGGAACAATCTAACTATTGTGATGTTGAGACAGCCTAATGTAGTCCAGTTGGCTTCTAACTGGTTGAGATGGAGGATGAGATTGAAGCCTGGAACCTCTAGCTTCCCCTTCTGCTGTATCTAGGATGAGAGGCAGTGATAGAAATCAAGCCTAAAGCCTCTGGTATTCTAGGTGGGCTCCCACCCACCAAGCTACATCACAATCACCAGTGAGAGCCTTAACTATCAGAGTAATTCTTGTTCCCTTTTCTTATTGTGTCTAAAACACTTTGAGAATAAGGTGGATTAAAGATACAGAAAGAATTCAGTCAAGACAGTACCCTCCCCTCCTTGTGCATTCTTTGTCTAAGTACTCACCTATGTTCCCAGGTAACTTAAAAGCTCATGCAATATTATATGTGGGCGTGGTTATTGTGAAAGTTTTGAGAGCCCAAGCCTTGGCCACATGAAGGTGCTCCACCATCAGGAGTGAATTTCAGGGACATCCATTTGCAAATTCTCAAGTCCCTAAGTTCTATCAACACATATAATGAACTTACTTTGTGGGTATAACAGAACCCACGTTTTCTACTTAAGTCTTTTTTTTTAATTTATTTATTTATTAAAGATTTCTGTCTCTTCCCAGCCACCGCCTCCCATTTCCCTCCCCCTCCCCTAATTAAATCCCCCCCCTCAGCCCGAAAAGCAATCAGGGTTCCCTGTCCTGTGGGAAGTCCAAGGAACCCCCCACCTCCATCCAGGTCTAGTAAGTTGAGCATCCAAACTGCCTAGGCTCCCACAAAGCCAGTACGTGCAGTAGGATCAGAAACCCAGTGCCATTGTTCTTGAGTTCTCAGTAGTCCTCATGGTCCGTTATGTTCAGAGAGTCCGGTTTTATCCCAGGCTATTCCAGACCCAGGCCAGCTGGTCTTGGTGAGTTCCCAGTAGAACATCCCCATTGTCTCAGTGTGTGGGTGCACCCCTCATGGTCCTGAGTTCCTTGCTCGTGCTCTCTCTCCTTCTGCTCCTGATTTGGACCTTTGGTTTCTAGCTATAAATAAAGGACATTGAGCCTATAATTAGTGATCCTAGAGAAGCTAAATAAGGAGAACCCAAAGAAAAACATATAGGCATCCTCCTGAATATTAACCTTCAGCAAGCGATGAAAGGAGACAGAGACAGAGACCCACATTGGAGCACAGGACTAAAATCTCAAGGTCCAAATCTACTTAAGTCTTATATTGCATAGAACTCCTCTTTCCCTAGAGGGAAAACAGCCCCTACAATGTCAGACACAGAACAGAGGCTCAAGTTGGCAGAGCCATTGGTCTTCGGTGGTTGCTTGTGGACTCTGAAGCTGATGAATAATTTGAGACAGACTCCATAGCTCATTATTTGGGGGAACCCAAACCTGTGATATGATGTGTGCATTCCTCATGTCCTGGGAGGACTTAGCTGCTTGTGATCTTTTGTACATTTTCCTCCTTCAGTTCCCAAATATTTAGCTATTATCTGCTGATCCAGACAACAGTTTTATGAATGCCATTCAGTTGTGCTGCCACTGTGGCTTTCAGTGTTCACATAGCTTCCAGATATCTCATCTCATGGGCAAATCATGAGCATTCCTTTTGAGCTGTCATGTTGTCTGGATTGTGCCTGACATTTGAATGACTCTGATTACATGCACCCATATTTAGGTGAAACTCTTATTGCTTCACTTTCAACCCTAGAAAGGTGAATGTTAGTTGAGTAATCTTTCATTTTAGCTTTTTTTTTGTAGAAAATGTCTTAAATGAAATATTTGATATCCAAATACCTTCATGAACAGTGTGTAGACTGTGGAACATTTTTTTGTTGTTGATTGGCCAGCACCCTGAAATATTGTAGTTCAGTAGGTTTACATGTGTTCTGTTGAAAGCTTGCATGTCATTTTCAAACACAATGATGCTGAAAAACAAACAGTAGACTGTATTTGTTTCTGAGGTCTTCCCTAATGAGTTACTGCTAACTGGACGTCTTAAGATGGTCAGAATTTATTCTCTTCAAGTTTGGCAGGCTGGAAATCTGCAATCAGGGTGCTGTCAGGATGATTGTGCTCCAAGGCTCCAGGGCAGGCGTAAACCTTGTCCCTCCCTCCTTCTAGTCTCTACTGTTTCCTCCATGTGACCAAGAGTCTCATTCCTTCTTCCAAGTCTTCTCCCCTCCTTGTCTCACTTAAAGGGCACACGCCATTGAATTTAGGACCAATTTGGAAAATTTACTACACACTGGATTCAAGTTTCCTAACTCAATTGCACAGATAGACCCCTTTACCTAAAAGGTCACACTCAGAGGTTTCAGGCTTGGAATGTGGACACGTCTTTTTAAGGTCATCATTTAAATTCACCACACACTAAGGTTTCAGCACTAAATATTGCACTAGGGTACATGTAAACTATATCATTTCTTTTCATCCATTTGTGTGTGTATACATGTGCTTGTGGAGGTCAGAAGATGGCCTTGGGAATGGAGCTACAGGCAGTTGTAAGCTGGTTGGTGTGGGTTCTGGGAACCAAACTAGGTCTTCTGCAGGAACTTTATGTACTTGTAACCACTGAGGGGTCTCTCCAGCCCCAAACAACGTATTTTGTAACAGCAGTTTCATCTTATCAGTCAAATAACCTCTGAGTTCAGCAAAGCAAAATGTTGAGCAGAACCAAGAAGTTGTTTCCCTTTAGAAGTTCAGCTTGATAACAAAGATTTGTTCTTGGCGATGTTTCCTCACACAGTTTGAAAGTGCAAAGCTCCTATTGCAATAAACACATGGATTTTGCTCTAGACAAATAAATTTTGGAATCCATGGGACATTTAAAGCTCACATTTTCAACTCACAAAGGTAGTTACCACTAGATGGTAGTCTTGGCTCATCAGGGAGGCAGTGCCAGCCCCTTGAGTAGTGTTTATACCAGGAAAGGATTGCTCAGAGACTATTCTTTTAAGACAGTTTTTACCCCCCTTTAAATATGACAGCAACTAAAAAGCTCAAATGCACATGAAAAGGTGTTTATGCCACATGGGAAAAAAATACGGTGGAGTTACAAATTCAAGGGAAACTGAATTCCCACATACTGTGAGAATGCTTTCTTTCTTTCTTTCTTTCTTTCTTTCTTTCTTTCTTTAAATTTTAGACAAAGATTGAAATTATACATCCAGGCTGCTTTACATGCACTGAGTTTTTTTTTTTTTTTTCGAGACAGGGTTTCTCCGTAGCTTTTGGTTCCTGTCTGGAACTAGCTCTTGTAGACCAGGCTGGCCTTGAACTCACAGAGATCCGCCTGCCTCTGCCTCCCGAGTGCTGGGATTAAAGGCGTGCTCATGCACTGAGTCTTTTGTCCTCCATATATTTTGGTGCCATGATTCTTCTATGTTCTAATTATTTCAGGAACTTTCAGAGCTGGTGATGCCTGAATCCTAGGTGCCCTACAGATGAATGTAATTTGCTTGATGCCTGAGAATAAATGGT